AAGTATATAAAGTGATAAGATACACTGGAAGGAGGGAAAAAATATCCATGGGAACATAGCACTTAGGGGCAGCTTCATTAATGAAACGAGACTTTGCTGAACTCTTGAACTACTACATGCTTCTTCAAAAGAATAGAAAGTTTTATATGTTTTTAGACAGAACAGAAAATTTTCTCCTCCACCCCTTACTTCTATAAAATATAAAATTCTCTTATATTTATAATTTCATTTTTATTTACCTGTCATGTTAAAATCAATAAGTAACCAAGAATAGCATTTGGTTTTCAAGACCTGATATTTGGACAATATATAAGATTTTCTTTCTTCTGGGAAAAAAAAACTGTATTGGGCATATTTTCCTTCACATCAGTTTGCTCTAGTAAAATCAGTTTTCTTTCTACCTTTCCTTATAATGCTTTCAAAAACTTGGTTCTTTGGTGTCACTACAAACCATAAACATTACTCTGTACCTAGTTTTTTTTCTGGAGACTAAAACATTCATTTGTCTTTTTTTCCTATGAATCATTTGACAAAAAGTGGCGTTACCAACAAGTATATACTCTGTCCAGTAGCAGAAAACACAGGGAGACAGCAGGAAGCAAAAGCCATGGTCACTGATGTCTAGAATTTGGTGCTGACTATTAATGGTTGCTCATCTTTAATTATAAGGCCAAATTACCTTTGTCTGTTCACTGTCAGGGTCTTCAAGCCAAGCATAAGGGTCACAAATTTTATGCCCGTGATAATCTTGTACCTGTGAAAGACAAAATAAACGAAATTAAAATGAATATTTTCTGAAAGCGATAGGGAAATAGGAAAGAGACAGACAAAAATACTAATTGGCTCATTGGCAACATGTCTGCCCAAATTACAAGAACCAAAACTGGCAGGTTCTCAAAGGTGTCAAGACATTCTTCCTGAAAAGAATGTTTTCATTGGAGAGGGAAGACAGATGAAAGGTCAGAATGGGAAAGGGCTTTGTCTGTACAACACAAAACAGAGGGCTGCCACTGTGCTAAAGAAACTTGAAAATGTTTTGTCAGGCGCCAAGTTCAGAAGGACACAATGCAGTGGGCACGCCAGAAAGAGAGCCTGGGAGGGAGCCACTGTATGTGTACTTATGTTCCTGTCCTTGCTCAGCCTGCCCACGATTAGAAAGTGTCTCTTCAACACAGCATAAGATCTGTTTTGTTTTTAAGTCTAAATCACCCCCCCAAAAAGTTAATGAATATGCAGTATGATTCTGTGACCAGCTAAAAAAGCTAACCTACATGTAATTAAAACATTTTTACACTAAAATGTTTTCCTTTTTACATACTACTACGAAATGCCTTTTTTTATTGTTTACAACAGGAAGACACAAAAGCATCCCACATTTAGACTATCCTAATATTTGAAGAAATAAATATCTTTACGTGAAAAGAGCCTATTTGAGGGGAAGATTTCTGGAGCTGCCACCTGGAACTTCTGATTGCACAAATTCTGGGGCTTGGCTTCAGTAAATAGTTGAGGGAACTGGAAGGACAAGTGGGTCAGCTTGTCACCACTCTGCCTAAAGAAATTATCCAAAAGAAAACCATTAAGAAACCTCTCTGCCCCACATGATCAAGATTAATCCTATTAATTGAAACCATGTTGACAACGTCTTTCCAATCAAGTCTGTGAAAGATTCTAACATTCTGGTTATGGCTTCCTTGTACACAGACTGTCTGGAAAATTACTTCTATCTCAGATGAATTTTTAATCTGTCTCTTCCTTGCTTCGTTCTAAATACCAGAATACTTAGAGCTACTCTTTAGAAAAAGTACACGCTCCTAAAAAAGGAACATTTCAACATCATCAAAGTTCCAGCAATGGCCGCTGTCAGGTGAGAACAATCTCCCCAGCCTACCAGACCAGGTTTCTGTGTCTGTCCTCTCTGATGCCAGGTCAAAGAACTGGGAAATGCACAACTCAATCGATGGGCAGATATGATGGAAAGTTCTAAAACTGTTTTCATATTTGGCTGACAAGAACAAGGGACATAAACCTGAGTAAAATCTCTCCTGATAGGTCTTCATTAAATCACCAATTTTCAATCTTTAGCTGATCACCACTTAATGAAAACTTTTTTCTTCTCATCTGTAAGTCTTTTACATTTCACATACCTTGATGTGGTTATAAAATAGCTTACAATAACAACTTTCTTTCCCCTGACAATACAAAATCAGAATAATTTTAAGTTGTAAAGGATCTTCCAATCCAACATTTTAGGGAGCAATGCCAGCCACAAGATTGGGCCACATGCCCACAGTGGGCACACAACCAGACACCTTAAAAATGGCCTCATCCATACCTGGATGGGTAGAAAAATTAACTGGAAATCACATTAACTGTATGATTAAGTGAAGGTGTTACAAAGTGCCTGACCCAAAGTGATAAATATTTATTGAATATCCCTATAGAAGGGTTGTTGATATTCCTATTTAACAGATTGCAAAATGTAATTCAGAGGTTTATAAAGGTAAAGACCAACAGATTTACTATTTATGCAGAAAGTACTATGAGTTAAATATTGTGCCATAGTTTTCATCCACATTAACTCATTTGAGATTACACGTGGGCTGCCACCCACCTATAGCTAGTGCCAAAGCTTGTGGACCTAACACCCTGCTCTATCACTCAGCTTGTGAGCCAAGTCAGGTGTAAAACAGCAGGTGGACTCCATCTCAGAACCCAGTGGATCAGACTCCCTAAATGGCATTTACCATCTAGGAAACAGCCCTGTTTTCCAGACCTGGCTCTATTATCTGAAGGCGACTGAGGTCAGTTATTGAAAAGATATCTTTAAGCAGGACGAGGAACAGATTCTCTAGGACAATCCCAGGAGCCACAGCCCAGACCCTCCCCCAATTTTTCTTTTACAAGACCATACCTTACACATGGCGTGATCTCACATAGCTATATAACTTAAATGCAACTCACACAGTATCTAATTATTCTAAGTTTGCAAACCATTCCTCACTTCAAAAGGCTTTAAAATAGAGACTCTGATATATAGTACTACTTAATCCTGTTTCAGATTTTACCTTCAGGAGAAAGGGTAGACTCAAACACACAGCAGGCAGACCCATCAGAGCTGGTCATGTCCTCCTCCCAGCCCCATCCAAGCTTACCCATCTATGATCACAGTAGCCTGCTTACTAACCCACCTTCCACAAAGGACCACACTTGCTTTATTTCAGTCTTCTTGTCAGGAAAGTCCTTTCTCCCTTATCCAACTTGCAATCTCCAGGCTCAATTATCTCCTTCTCCTAACGGAAATCAGTCCTAGTCTCTTCTCTGTTCTCTCACCCAGCACCCTTCCATCAGCTATGAGCCCCCTGAGGCAGGCTTGAGTTTACTGATGTGAACATAGAATGGTCAATGGCACTCCCCAAGAAGACCCATGGTTTCCAAATTCTGCCCAGGAAGGCAGATTCCACCAAAAACCTTTCATGCTCCAACTCCATAATTCCCCAGGAGACTGCTGAGCCTGTGGCTGAAAGATGCTCAAGTGAAAGATAGACAGCTATAGCAATCTCCAGCACATGCTGGTGGGAAACAAACCCACCCTCCAAACCAAAGGCTACAATTTAAGCAAATGCATAAGTTAAACCTAGTAATTAGTAACCAGAACCTTGCTGCAGGAAAAGATGTGTTTAGGCTAAGAAGGCAGTGTAAATGCACCAGGAGCCACAAAAGAGAAGCTGGACCTGGGCTACATCCCCTCACTCATGAGGCTTAGGGTTATCTTGAACTTTTTGGATGAGAAGAAACTAAAGAGCACTAAAATCCACACCACAGGGCTGGGGATTTAGCTCAGTGGTTCCACTGCCTGCCTCGCCATCACAAGGTCCCGAGTTCCGTACCAAAAAAAAAAAAAAAAAAATCCACAACACAACCTTCTGAGTTAATGATTTGAAACCTTTTAGATGTCTTCATAAAATTCCTACCTAGGGCCAGGGATTTAGCTCAGTAGTTTCGCCGCCTGCTGCGCAAGCGCAAGGACCCGAGTTCCAGACCCGGTGCAAAAAAAAATTCCTACCTAACCCTTTCAGATATTGTTAAACAAAAAGGAACTACAGGGTTTTTGGTACCCAGAGTGGGGTTAAACTAAACAAAAAGCAACCTCCCTTAAAAATTTAAAAAAAAACAAACACCCAACTGTACTTATCAAATCACAGTGTAGTGCTTTATAATTTTTTATTCCAAAAAATCGAGTGTCAAAACTAGAAACAAGATAGTTACCTGCCTTGCTGGTTCTACGGCCTGGCAAGCTGCAGAAGTAGACCCTTGTGTGAATGGATGCATGACAACTTACTACAGCAAGCAACTTAGCCCTATGGTCAGCCCTAGAGTCCATATATAAGGTGCAAAAACAGGGAAGAGATCAAAGTGACCCCAGCAAGGAGTGACAAAACTAGAACTAGCACTCAGGCCTTCTTTCTTAATCCATCCTCTCTTGTTCCAGCAGGACCCCTTTCCTCCCATACACATGGGAAACAACCCTTTGGACCACAGGAAGAGCTTCTCGCACTGTTAGGGGGAAAGTAATAAGCAAGCGGCTTAACAGACTGCGGAACATGTTAACCTGATGGCCACTGGTCAAAAAACCACGACAGTCTCAGAGCCACTTGGAAGTCTCAACAATATGTCCTTTAACACCTCAGCAGCCTTTACCCCAATGTGCAAATACAGTGGGTACAGACTTCCCGTTTAAATAAGGTCAATACAAACAGGAGAAAAACTATTATACAAAAATGCTTCTACCCTAATTCTATCTCAAGTAATCTGAGAAATGTACTAAGAGAATCATGACCACGATGTTTGGATTCAGTCCAGCTCTTATAATGCCAGCCTAATTTTTACACACACACAAAAATGATGTTTATCCAGAATTTCACTCACTGGATTTCAACATCTACCTCGAGCTCATCTCCCACTAGGCAAAACCTACTCATTTTGAAAAGGGTCAGTCTGGCCCATGCTGTGCCTTCTCCACCTCTGCAGCCCTCCAGCAACCAAACCCTGCGCTCAGCCCAGGGCAGGTTAGGTTTAAAACGAATGAATGAGCTCCAACTCTGAGGACGTCAACATTCTAAGTTCTGAAAGTTTGCTTTCGCTTTTCAATCTTGCATCATCTCACACCAACACATGGACCAACACATGGAAACACAGTACTGTACACTTTCTCCTACCACCATATTTAAACCAAAAGGCTTCTCTAGTCAAAAAGCAGTGACACTTGCTGTCTCCTCGCTCGCTCACGGCGCCCATGCCTACCCGGGCGTCTGCCCTTGATCCCCAGTGATGTTAGGGAGCGGCCAGGCGGCTCCCACAGCCCGACAGAGGCCGCCCCCGGACCCCGCGGCGGGGAGGAGACCGCGCTCCCGGCCCGGTTCGTGCAGACAAAGGCCGGGGGAGGGGAGGGGAGGGGAGGAGAGGGGCGAGGGGAGCGGGGCTGCGGGGAGAGGGGCGAGGCGCGGCTGGCGGCGGCTGCCGGGACTCGGGGAGCGGCAGGGGACTCACGGAGGTCTCGTCGCGGTACACGTCGGGATACTGGAAGGACAGCATGGCCGGGGCGCGCAGGGGCTGCGGGCGCAGACGCGAGGCCCGGGCTGGCCGCGGGGCGAGCCGGGACGCGGGCAGACGGACGGACGGATGGCTCTGGGCCACGGGCTCACGACCAGCCTGGTGGCCTCCGCGCGAGGATGTGAGCCCGGCAGGAAGCAGCTGTCGGCACGGCCGCGAGCCCCTCCCTGGCGGGCGGGCCTAACAGCGGCAAGAGGGAGCGGACTCGCCGTGCCCGAGCTAGATCCGGCGCACAGCTCCCTCTGCAGGAGCGCCGGCCGCACGCGCCCGCCCGCGGGGACCGAGAGGGAGTGGGAAGGGAAGAGGAGTGCGACCGGAGAGCGAGCCTCAGGCTGGGCCTGCAGCCGAGCCCCGCAGCCCCTTCGGCCTTCGCTTTCCCACAGCGCAGGGGCCGAGGTGGGGGCTTTTCCCTCTGCCCTATTGGTGGCCTAATTTCCACGCCTGCGACTCTGGTAATCACCGACAGAGAAACGCATTGCCCTCCACCCCAGCACCCCTGGTGGACACCGGGTGGTTCGGCAGGAGATTGTGGAGATGGCTTGAGGTGTTCCCTGGACAATGGATAACCCCTTATTTGAGATTTGCTGATCGAGAGGGGGCTGGGGGAGGACTGCAAATCTTCTATTTATCCCCCTCTGACCTTCCTGCCTCTACTGCTTATATATGTTCAGCACCTACTCTTGTTTCTGCAGGGGAAAAAGACAAGCTGCTTGACCTCAAACCCGTGGAAATGTAATAGTTACATCTCTTCACCTTTGGGCCAGTGATGGTTATGTGTTGTGGTCTTGATTTCTGGAACACCCGGCAGAAGCTTTATAGTCATCAGAGCTGTCATGTGTGTCTGGTGTTTCCTGTCCCTAGCTTCTTAGCAAGTCTTGCAAGAGGGATGGGTGTGGCCAGAAAGTCCTTCCTACCTGGAGTGTGAACCCATAACTATTGTACAGTTGTAGCCTCTCAATTCCCTGACTAACCTTAGTTCACGTTTCTGTTCACGGCGGGGTGTTTTGTTTTGTTGTTTGTTGGGAAGGCTTTGTTTTTGAAACAGGGTCCTGCTCTGTGGCCCCCGCTGACCTCGAACTTTCGGTGATGCCCCTGCCTCAGCCTCTGGAGCACTGACACAGGTGTGAACCACTGTGCCACCCATGGCAGGGTATTTGATCTTCATTTTTGTCTCTCTCTTCCTAGACTTTCTCTTGGGCCGCCCGAAAATCCTTAGTTCTGGGAGAGCTCACTGCTAATCCTAAACAGTGCAGATACACACAGGGCCTCAGGCTGCTGCACCCTGGCTTCCTGTCGCCACCCTTACCTAGACCCTGCCAGGTGCAGGGTTTTTTAAAAGACCATCTCAGGGACAACTGACCCAGCAGATACCCTAGTAATAATAGTTAATACTTACTAAGTGTTAAGCACCCAGAAATTCTCTTATTTAAGATAAAAATTAATAATATCCCAGTTTTACACTTGAGGTAAACTGAGGCTGACTTTTATGACAGGCATCATGAATAGAAAAAAAAAATCGAAAATAGAGCCAGAGGTTCAAACCTAAGGGTTTCTGTGCCAGCACAAGTTCTTAACCCTCCTGTGGCCTTCCTCCTCAGGAATAAGTAGGTGCACTTTAGTCTACAAGAGCACCGTTTAGTTGAGGACCTAAGGTAGAGAGAATTGTGACAGCCAAGGGACAAATCGAATCTCAGATATGACTTCCTTCCCAGCCTGGCTCCTATGGACCCTGAAAGCTACAGTGTGCACACAAATGCAAGGGCTACCAGCAACATGTCTGCCCTGGGCTGAGGGGGAGTGGAAGGTGAGCACACCCATTTCTGTCTTCCTGGCCACACTGATTGCATGCTTCCTACGTGTGCCAGCTTCTCAACCCATCTATGCTTAGTCCTTATAACAAAGCCCATTCTACAGATGAGGAAAAGGAATCTCAGCATCTTTAAAGCTTTTAAGTCCAAAGTTAGCCATGGTGGTGCACATCTGTGATCCCAGCACTCTGGGAGGTGGAGGCAGGAGAATCTCAAGTTGGAGCCTAGCCTGGGCAACTTAGTGACCTAGCATGACTCTGTCTCAAAATTTAAAAACGGGGTGGGGAGGGGATATAGGTCAGCAGAGGTCCTGGGTTCAATCCCCAGTACTATAAAAACAAACAAACAAGATTGACTTCATCACTTGACCAAAAAGTCTGTCTTGTCCCTAGAAAATGAAGAGAAAGCCAGTATTTGATGCAAGTCAGAAATGCAAGCACTGTTTCCAGAATAAATGCCAGAGCACTATTTCACCTCTGTCCCTGCAGACTTCTTCAGGGGAATTATAGAATTAACACTAGGAAATCATGCTCTAACCTAGAACCATCCATTCCCAGAATTGTAGGCCCTGGAGGATGTTGGATGCTAAAGGAGGTGTAGAAGGGCCTCCAGGTGGCCTTCAGCCTCTCTCTCTGCTACAGCTTTGAATTTTGTTCCCAAGTAGTTGCCCTCCCGAGAGGCAGAATCGAGATGATTACCACTGCTTGGCGGTTCCACCCCACCTCAGCTTGCTTATCAAAGCACTCCTTCCACACCCATGCAGTAGTCTCCAGGAGATGGTTCCTGGTACTTTTGAGAGGTGCGCAGCCAAGAGCTAAGTGCGGAATGAAATCCTCTCATCTCCACTTGCCACACTGAAGATGGGCACTGGCTGTGCTTGCCTAGAGGAAAGAGTATTTTTAATCTCGAGGGGTTGCTCCTGCCCAGGGAAAACACATTTTTCTAATTCACACCAAGATGAGAGCATGCTAGTACTCTTAAGAGACTGATGATTTGGTTGCTACCTAAATAGCCCACACTTGATTTTTTGTTTGTTTTTGTTTTTTGAGACAGGGCTCACTATGTAGTTCAGGCTGGCCATGAACTCACCATGTAACCCAGGCTGGCCTCGAACTCACAGCGATCCTCCTGCCTCAGCCTCCCAAGTACTGAGATTACAGGTGTGCACCACCACACCCAGCTAGGCATATTGTTAAAAACACATGTGAGGTGTGGAAGTCAGCTGTGAAATCTAGGTCTCCATCTTTTTCCTCCCTCCCTCAATTTAAGGCCTGACTGAATTCCACACCGAATCTGAGTTCCATCCAGATAAAATGATGTGGGCAGCAATAGCAGATCCAGAATGAACCTAGAGCATTTTTCTACTTCAATTCATGGAACTTATTTATACCATTTCCAGTGATAGGATTGTTTGTACAGCAGGAGAGAGAAACCTTTTTTTCCTGTGCTGTTATTAGGAGAAAATTCAAGTGTGGTCCCACATGCAAAATAAATTTGGTTTATTAAGGAGAGAAAGATGAAAATCATCTATTCATCTGCTATTTTAAATTTTGAACTGAGACTCTAAAACAGTTTAGTAAGTACAGAAAATCTGTCAGTTCAAAATTACTGGCCATGGATTTAGAGATGTGGGAACTAAGGGGAAACAGCAAGGAAGAGAAAGTGAGATAAACAAGTCAAATTTGCTGATACAGAACCAGGAAAGGTAAAGATAGGCAAGCGTGGGTGCACTTGCTCACACACATACACACACACACACACACATACATGTGAACAGTATGAAGACAAACAATAAACATGAAAATACGCAAAAGATCAGTCAGATGGACATGTGTAGGTTCCCAAACATACTCAAAGATTCTTGAAAACAATTAACTACACCGGCGTCATTTATCACAAAGGGCTGTCATTGAAGGAAAGCATCTTGATGCTGTTAGAAAACCCAACCCAGAGGTTTTCTGCTGTTTAATCAACCATGATTTAACTCACTCAAAGCTCATGCGAAGGATCTACCTTGGCTTTTTGTCTGTGAGGCATTCAGCAACACTTTTACACATCTCTGCTATTCTTGTATTGCAGGCCTGAATACTGTATTTCCTAACCTCCCTGTTTTCTTGTTCGTGGCCAGGATCTGCCAATGGTGAAAAAATAGAGATTGGAGGGGGTGGGTGCAGGAGAGACATGTCTTATTTTTGCTTAGGTTCTGGCAATGATAGGACCTTGCAAATCACTGCAGCAGTAGCACAGGTGAGTCAGCAAGATACGGATGGGGGACCTTGGGCCCCAGGAGCATCTTCAGCAGGATTGGCAACTTCAGAGGGACTGCAGCCCCAGACTCTTGTAGAACCAGTGGGAGCACAGGGTTTGGGTGTCGTTTATAGTAGCAGTGGTAATCAGAACAGTCTCATACACAGCATCATATGCGTGGGGTCTGCATAAGACCACTGAACTGATCTCTTCTCCAACCTTAGCAATAAGATTGGCTTCTGGCCATCAGTAATGTCTAGACACCATCATCTTTCTTCCTCTCCTCTTCCTGCTCCACTTTCTTCCTCTTCCTCCTCCCCCGCCTTTATTTTTTTCCTCCCAGGCCCACTGTATAACAAAATTATCCTGTTACATTTTCTTTGGAATATCTACCATAGTTCCTTTTTTCCTCACCTAAACACTGTTTACCAGAAATACAAGGAAGAAGAAATAACAAGCAACATACTTAGGCTTACTAAGCATTTTATGTATTGATAAAATAAAATGCAGAATATGAATGCCGAGATAGTAAATGTTTCAAGAAAAAAAATATGTGATCGCCACAATAACGAGTTGCAAGACAGCATAAAAAGAAGCAGCAGATTTGGAAAAACTATAACTTTAGAAATGAAAAAATTGGTAAACAATTCATAGCTAGTTTAAGGATGAAATTGGAAAGTTAAAGAATCAGTGAAGTGAGAGGCAGCTCTAAGGTAACACTAAAGGCAGCACAAAGAGGCAAGGAACTGGA